CTACAATTACAACTTCTATAACAACTATACAACAAATACTGACTGCAGAATCCCGTCTGCTTCTATCATAAATAATGCTACTTATTAACTGTTTTCACCAGCACGAAAAGTTAGTGTCATAAAATGAGTCTGATCCGAGCTTGTGATCCTGTGACTGCGGCTCATGTGATATACCGACCCTGAGTTACCACGACTGCTAATAATTAATGAGAAGGCAAGCACTGGACGAAGCGTTTGCTATATCTTTTAGCAATGCGATGTTCGGAGGAAATCATGTATGCACGGTTTTCCAAGATGGTATGGCTGACAATGTCTGTGTCGAAGACTTTGGCATAATCGAAAAGAATGTAAGCGAAAAATTATAGCTCTATCTCGTAGATTAGATAAATTTTCGTTCAACCAAATTCAAAATTACTTACAAATAGGCTTGTCTGTGTCACTCTCAGACTTCTGCTGCGTATATATTTCCGGAGTATTCACAGAATGCCTTAAAATGAACGTAAAAACTAGATTATCAATATAAACAGCACTTCGATAAGAGATCTTTCAGAAGCTCCCAGTAGTACGATTCAGCCTTTGAAACAAACGTTTCTTTTCTCTCTAAAACGCAACATTTTCAAACATAAATTTTATCATACGCCGATGTGCACCCATTTTTATAAAATCATGCAAGAGTTATTACATTTGTTGATGAAAATTCAACCTCTTAATTAGACAATGAGTTTGTGAAAATTTTCAATGGTTTTAAAAAACCTCTTTATGGTTTTTTCGTCTAAACTAATCCAGTATGCATGATTTCAAAGAATAGTCATCTCCCGTCTGACTGGTAATGTGCAAAAGGTTGTCATAAAGTTCAAAACCAAAGAAAAGGAGGAAACAGTGGCTTCTCTTAGGCTTCAATGACTTTAATGCTGAGTGGAAAAAGATTCTTAATCCGTTTTCGCAGTCCCACAGCACAGTTGTAAGGCTCTTAACATGATATTGTTAGCATGGCAATTTGTCTGCAAGTCTGTCTGAACTTCTATAAGAGAGGAGCCTTCGACAAAACCGCAAAAGATTTAGTGAAATTAATTAATGGAATCGGAATTCGTTGCTTCCATCGAGGTAGGAGAATTCTGTTTGAAATCTGCCCCACCTTTTTTGAGTCCCCTTAGAGAAGACCCATCTCTGTAGCCACCAGCTCGATATTACTAAATGTTACTCGACAGGATTCTTCAGTAAAGGCACAAAGACAAAAATCAATCACTTAGCATTCACTAACCTCACAAACAAGAATAAAACCATAAAACATGCCACCGTAGAAAGTCCGTTTTACAGACTAAATCACGGATTCGATTAAAGTACAAAATCTTTAAAGGTGCTTCAAGCACCACGTTAAAAATTCTTCGACTAAAAGGCATTAATTATGTCCTACAAGAAAACCCCTCAACAGTCAACCCACTCCAGACTTCTTGCCGAAAAGGTATGCAGGCAGCTTTTTGGGGCGCTCGTCACCACACTGATTTTTTCACTGATTAATTTCTTTTACTTCAGTGATATGACTTAATGAGCATTATGAGATGAGAACCCGGCCCACTTATTTGTTTTGCTTCCGCTGAAGTTAGAGCCTGAAAGTCATGTAGGAACCTGCTCCGGTAGGTGAGACTGTGGCTGCCAGCCAGTTACAAATAATACCTGTCCATGAATAAAACCTAACACAGTCTCTTCTCCCTTTCCCAAAAATCCGCTTGGCTGGATGAAGCTTAGAGAGACATCGGCGATACTTCACAAGGACCGTCAACCGAAATAGACTACTGAACAACCACGCACCAAAAACCAAATAAACCAGATCAGAAGATTGTCAACTGACGTTATTGACAGGCGTGTAGAAAACAAAGACAAGTCCGAAGGTGCTGGACCTAGCTTCGGTTGTAGTCCGTTTCAAAATCAGTGTAATTTGGACACTCTCCGTTTACACCAATCTAACGTACGCCTATTTTTAAAAATTTAAAGATAAATTTTATGCGGACATGGTTTCATGGTATGTTAACACCAGCACGATTTCAACACAGAATTAATTAAATGGAGACTGCCCATTTAGAATTCTAGAAAGGGTAGATGAAAAAGGCAACTTGCGAGTCCCGGTAGTGCTGTAAAACTTGTCTAATAGTATGCCATCGGCAATTATTATTAGTTTATTAAGTAATAACCTACATTTACAGGTCACATTTACAAGTTCGGGGTGTATTGTCACTACGGTTATTAATTAGAACTTCCTTTGTATGAATAAGGAAAAATAATGCACTTCACCGACTTCATTTAAGTAATGAAAACTTTCGAACTATAAATATATATAACTCATTCGTACACGTACATATACCTCATAATTTCCTCATTTTCTCATATAACTACTAACTCCTTTGAGCAAGGAATTCAGCAGAAACAGCCGAAAAACGATTAGCAGGGCGTTGATCTATGAACAATAGTGACAGCACGCCGATCCGCCAGGATTTTGCCAAATCTGATGCTATGCTGTCTGATAAGTGCAGTTCGCAGCTGCAACTCGCGCTGACCCACCTAATCACATGGATTACTTGGACTGACTGCTAATCAGCGACGAATAACACCGGTTGCATGACGTATGCCATTGCCCATCCCTCCGGTTTCTAAACTATTCCCTTCAAGTGCAGCTTTCCCGGCACTTCATATGATCTTCTCACCGTAGTGGCGGGCAATAAGGTATCCTAATCTGCCCGCAAGGGTAACCATCGTCTATCGTCGCTGGTCATCATCCGTCGGTGAGCCAAATGACGTGGCTAACTGTAGTTTCTCCCTTCTGCTACCAACGACAAACTATTTCAATCCCGTCCGCTATTTGATCACCGTGCTTAGAATGCGGTAACGACGTGAGATGCTGCAATTCTTCTTTTCATGGCTCTTTCAGTGGCAAGCAGCTATCGCTCTATGGCCTTAGTGAGTGATCCTGTGACACAACTATACAGCATTTTCGACACGACGATGGAAGTAAAGAGGTCGACATGGGTTTCTTTCTGGACGTCGCCGAAGAATACGTCCTTGAACGCGCTAGCCGACCCTCTTCCCATTTAGAATCTCTCCAGTCTGATCATGTTGATCTCTTGCGCCAAGTAAATATCGACTTCGATCTTTTCGCTGTTATATTAGTACCTTCGGTAAGGCATCCGATCTCAGCATTTTAGCATCTCAGCGTCTTTGACTGATCAATTCGCAGGCCGACTTCTGCATTGTTTCTCTCGAGCTCTTGCAATAGTTGACTGACGTTTTCCGCAAACAACACCACAGGCGAACCTTAGGTGGCTGAGATATTTACATTGTCATTAATCTCACCGTTCCAGTTTATATTTCGCGCGGCCATTTCCAAACAGGCAGTGAAGATTTGGGGATTTGGTGTCCACTTGCTTCATGCCCTTCTCCACGGGTATCCAGAGCAGATGCAAAACAGCGCGATGTTTGAGAAGCAGCCAATTTTCGGCCATTATCAAGGTAAAAACCCTGTTCGGCTAGTGCAGTCCATACTGTGTTGTGCTCGACAGTTTCTAACGCTTCTTCTTACCCGACGAACGTGTTGCAGAAAGGGAGCTCGTATCACCTCATGCGCCTGATGGGTTGATTTAAAGCAAAGATGTTATCAGTTGTGCCGCAGTCCCTTCGTGTTCTCGTGGCTACAGTTGGTTCCGACTTGTTGACATTCTGTTGGTGATGATCTTATTGAACAGCCTGTAGACTTGTGATACCAGATAGATTGAACGCTAATCTTTCAAGTCTTACTTCTCATTCTTCCTGAGCACCACGATTGTTTTTGATTCCTCTTGACGGCAGCTTTGCCGTATCCAAGTCCCTTCCGCTAGAGACCTCCAAACCGTCTGATTACCTGCCTTAGTCACTCAACTGTGACATCGTCTCTCCCTGGTGCTTTTCCCTCCTTCATTTGCTGCGCGCAATTACGAGCTTCGCCTAAGAGGACAAGGAGTGCACTTCCTTTTGTCTGTTGGAGCGATACTGAGGGAACGTGAGTTTTTGACGCAAAGAGTTTGGAGCAAAATTTCTTGCAGATAGACCGCATCTCGGATCTTTCAGGCGTTAATGCGCCGCTCCGTTCTTCAATGCTGTGATGATGGGCCGATTCATCGCTAACTCTCTCACGTACTGTCTGAGAATTCTGCGATATTCAGCTGTATTAATATTTTTCGAAATTGGGAGGTCCTCCTCCTTCAACTTCCGGCTGTGTAATGAACTCACAGAGAAGAGACAACTCGACGGTGCCGGTCCCATCTTTCTTCCTCCTCCTTCGCGCATCTAGCAAATTTCTAGTCTCTTCTGAGGTTCCTCCTTTTGCTCTCTTTGATGCTACTATCTCAGCTGACTTTACGCAGCGTTTCAATTTCTGAGCGAACTTATCGATACCTGCCTTTCAGGCTCGAGTCTTCGATGGAGATGCGACTTGGAGCAAAATTTCGTCGAATATCTGGGGTCGTTGTCTTTTATTTGCCATCTGCTGTACCATTCTTTGGATCCCCTCGTCATACATTAGCCTGCCGGTACTAAATGATTGTGATCTGCTATTTCAGACGATGCAGCGTTTGTTCAACAGAAGAAAATTGATCACCTTCGACGCCGCGCCAGCTTTGATCTATACTAAGCTCCTGATGGTCTTCTTCTTGAGCCAATTGTTGCAAATGTACAGATATTTCGTTTATGACATGTTTGCCAGCCGTCCTCTCCGCTCGTTTCCGGTGCCGTAGCTACCGAAAAATTTTTCACCGGTTCTTCTTTGTCTGACTTTTCCTGTTCAACTGGAGGCCAGACTTCCAGTCTTAGTGACTTTTCATGGCAGGAGACGATTTTAGAGGACCACCTCATAGTTGACTGAAACTGTAAATATAAGTTGCAAACGCAAATTTAAAATTTTTAATTACAGTCGTTTTGAGTGAAATGCACAAGCTGTTTCCAAATTTAAATTGAATCAGACTGCAACATGGTCACCTCTACACTACAGAACTTACGCAACCTCTTGAGCGCTCTCATCAAATTTGAAAGTTTAATACAATAAATTTTTGACACATGTATACAATACGTTATGTCCTGCTATTTTCAACAAAGCTGTTGAAGCATTTAGAATTTTTCGTAAATTACCCAGAGATCTAGTGGCGGCCAATTCTTCTGGCTGATTGTAAACACCACCGCGGCGGTTCATTTCCTCCTGCCATATGAAACGAAGGCCAGGATTTTGCAAGAAACCTACGACAAGTGACAAGCAAATTCAGGGTGAAAACCGCTACTACAGCACTTACTTGCCTGACTTCCACGAGGGGGTCCAGAAATGACTATATTACGTTCTGAACAGTCCGCTTCAAGCTCGCAGCAGCTCTGCCGTTGCAGGTCGTTGCTGAACGAAGAAGTGCATAAGCTTACTTAATGAGCAAAGAGAAACTTTAAAAATTTACGTTAGAAATTGGTCGATGCCATCACTCCACCCTTCGCCTCTCTTGTTCAGCTGCCGCGAGCCAAACTTTATGGTATATGCCGGACCGTAAACTGAAAACGAATATTAATAACTTAAATCATGCAGAAGCAAAGAATTTTCCATATACGTAGTAATGATCAGCTGAGGAAGCATATGGCGCTATATAATTGCCTTCATTCCCCATGACCATGAAAAGTGCAATATAAATGCTTTTTGATAAACCTGATTTTAAACTCAATGACGGTTGCATTCAGTTTAACATAAGTTCATCAGAATTTAAAATATGCATTATCACTATCGCTAGCAGAACTTTCATGTTATTTTTGCTATAAAACGCCCATTGCTGCATCGCAGAAATAATTATTCCTCTCTGAAGGACCTGTCTGCACCTTGTCTCTCCAGGTTGCAGCTGACCTCCCAGCCGACGCCTGTCGTGTTTCAGCTGCCACACGAGAATGCGGGGGCTGGAGTAAATGATGTGAACTCAACCAGTTAGTCTGACAGGGCCCGCTCCTTTTCTTCAACTCCACGTCTATTGAGGTCATCTGTTCTTGGAAGAGAACGGAGTCTTTCCTTAGGCGGTCTTGTCATTTAACCTTCATTGCGCGTCGAAACCAACGTTGTTGCATGTTGTCCAACTGTCGTTCTTACTCGTTCGTTATAACAGTTGTTGCCGTGACGTACAACAAACTGGTTTGACAGAGGCAAGGAACAGGCGGATTATTGTCGAATGGGCTACCTCCTTCTCAGCGCAAATATTTGACAGGTAGCCAAAAGAACTGGATGCGAGGGCGATCTTCCTATTAAATTCTGATTGGATGGTGCAATCGCTGGAAAGATTGAGCCGAAATAACTAAACTGGTTGACTTCCTCCATAATTTCCCTTCTCTGTTCCACTAGCAGATCAATTATGTCTCTTGGGTTCCTCATAACTTTGGACTTCCAGGCGTCAACTTAAAGATCGGCTTTCGCCAACGGAGGCGGAGGCCGTCAGATGACAGAGCCCGTTCTTCGTACTACTCACCAGGCCAATATCATCCGCATACTTCAGGTAAGTAAGGCATCTAGTCGGATATCTTGAACACCTTCCCACTGGAATTAAACGTCTGCCTCAGATTTTCAGGGTCAGGACTGTTTCAGATGAGAAACTGGAGAGCAGTGCTGAATAGGAACAAGCAACAGCGAACCCATTTACTCTGATCTGCCTCAGCTTGAATGATTTATGCTGAATCGAACTGAACAACGCTCCGCGATCACCTACTCCACCGCCGGAACATGAAGCCCAGCCGATCATATGAGCAATGTGCTTGTGATGATGAAGACCAGAAGATGAGGCATATTAGTTTTGAATGAGTGCTCTGAAAATTGATGTCTAGAATACAACTAATACAACTGCAGAGACAACGGGTTGATTCATGAATCTGGTTATCACTATTTTAGTCATCAGTATTATCAAACGTGATTAGTCCCTTCATCCTATTGACACAATAATTACTTGCAACAAGACAATTCACAGCCTATTTGGAATATCTCAATACGACAGATCTGCTAACTAGAATAATAATAAAAGCGTCAATCTGTAACACGCAGATATTTGACTGAGTTAGTTGCCTCCTTTTTAGCTCTTCTTTCCATACTCCATCAATACGTTGAGCCAAGGTCAACAGTTGCCAATAAAATTAGAATCAGCAGCACACGCATGAGTTATCAGATATAGCCTAAAAACTGGCAGAGTCCAGTCGTCCTGCTAAACCAAAGAAACGCGCCGAGTTGGTGTCGTCAAAAATTAACAAGCATAAAATATTGATGATCTTATCAGTCAATTAGCCAGAGAAATAGCGTACTCTTCGTCATAATCTGTACAAGCACGCTATACCAAGCTGGATTTACAAGTAAGATTATGAATGTATGAGTAAAATAAGTAAACAGCATATGGACGTATGAGCAAACTAAACTGGTAAACAGAATACTTACATTCCTGTGATATGCGTAATTCTGGATCTTTCACACTTAACATGTCCATTCCGTACAAGCCGTAGTCCGCCATGAACTACATACGCTTATTTCTTACCCACTTGGAAATATCAAGGACGCTCACCTGAAGCAAGTAAGGAATATGCAATTCATAAGGACTAGCCAACGTGTCCATTATGCGTCCTTCTTGTAACAGATCCGAAGCTCTTAAAAAACCTTCATAAGCTGAACAGAAAAGACAAATGAAACACATGACTTAGCGAAACGGTGATTACATGGCAGAAAGCAACCTGGCATGCCATTCAAAAATTATTGCTTAGAGTTTAAATAGAACTGATAAATTTTGCAGTGTTCTGAAAAATGCACTGATTAACATGATAAATAATGAGATACTGCAAAAAAGAAATGAACAAAACAATGTCAACATCGTTCAACATCCTATCACTCTGAACGGACAGCGGACAAATGTTATAACAAACTGGAATAATTATGGCAGATGAAAAATTTTAGCACGGTTGCTGAAGAGCCCCTCTGATTGAAGTTTGGAAAGGTACCTTATTAACCCAACACAAATAGTATACATGGTTTTACAGCCGTCAGACGGTCTTTGTGTTGCCTTAACCTATAAATTTATTCTGACATATAAGACTTTAGAGGAGGAAGTCACCATCGTAAAGTCAGCAGTGCTTTCCAGGTAACTCATACACGTAACTTCTGTCAGGGGATCAAAGCGATATCCGACAGAAAAATGTTTCAGCCGAAAAGTAAACGTACTTTGAAGCAGATGCGTCTTCTAATTCTAGCAAGAACGACAAGTACTAAATCCCCTCCATAATACTGACCCAAATTTTTAATAGAATTATCACCTATGATCACAGCACGGCATCATTAAGAGTTTCGGAAATTAGGAATCACTATATTCTAAAGAAACAGCAACTAGTTCTGTGATCATTAATTCACTCTCTTCTACACACTGAAATGTGGAGAGCTGTGAAGCAGTGGACTGCTGCTCAGCCCTGCATGACAAATCTGTCGATTAAGTGCAACGTGTTCTTTACTGAGTCGTATGATCATGAGGTTAATCTCATTTTGATTCAGTGCAAAATCGATCGAGTAATATTCAAAGAACATTGTGCTCTGCAGTGATCATGTTAGAGCTGCTAAAAACAGTCACGCTAGCCGAGTCTAGAGTCTTACGGCTGTAATGCGCCTTGACCCAACCGAGTGATATTTCAATAGTAGAAAATGTTGCAACCCATAAACAAGTAAATACGGAATTGGATAAAAATTATGAATATGAAAAAACATTAATTATAAATAATTAATCAATCTAAAATTATTAGATACAAGTTAATAGCAAAGGATTACTGAAAATTCAAAAGTACAAATTCAAATGAAGTTTGCTGTTTACAATAGTGAAATCAAATGTCTACAGTTTAAGCTTCCTGAAACTGGCCTGGTAGATTCAGCACATATTGGCTTAAACCAGTAACGGTGTAAACATGCCTAAATTCAGAACAAATAATGCGCACAAT